AGTTATATCATACATCAGGACTCAACAATAAGGATTGCTAATTGCATGGGGCAAGTAAAATGCCGCATTGGGCAAGTAAATCTAGGAACTCACAAAAAAAAGAATTAACTTCATCGTTTCCAGAGCAGATGATTGAATTTGCTGAGGACTGAGCCATCTCCCTTCCTTCTCATCTCTGTTGAGAGTTGCACATGCGAAGTATCAATCAAGCACCCGCGAGAAAATGGCGGTGGGTAAATAGAAAGTTTATGAAATGAAAAGCAAGTGAGCTTCTTGATTATGCTGGAAACAGGAGTGTAGTTGGTGGCATTAAAGGATGTGGGTGAAACTCTCTGAGAGCAAGGAGGATAAAACATGGTCATTTTTCAAATGAAAATTAATTCTGGTCTTTATTGTTAACCGCTAATAATTAAAACAATCTGTATAGGGGCAAGTGAAAATTATCTTCGGGCATGTGGATTTCGGACTGGCAAGTGAAAAAAAAACATTAATGTTAAATCTTGTTCATTAAAGGTCCAGTGTGTAGGATTTAGTGACATCTAGTGGCGAAGGTGCAAACTGCAACCAGCTGAAGTTTCTCCCATGTGCCAAGCATGTGGTGGCCAACACAAACACAGGACTGGCCCTATGTAGAGCCAATGTTTTTTTGTCCATTCTGGGCTACTGTAGAACAACATGGTGGACTAGGTAGAAGAGGATCCGCCCCTAATGTAGATATAAACCACTCATTCTTAAGTAATGAAACAAGTCTTAGTTTCAGGTGAATATAAACTAATCAAAATGACAGATGCCTCTGAATTGTACACACTGGACCTTTAAAATGGAAAATGTTACTAATTTTAAAAAGGTAAAAAATAAATAAATTAACGACACAGCACTACTGTCTGAACGGGATGTGTAAACCACACAGAAGTTCAGTTGAAACACACAAACGGATGAAACTTAGCGGCTACCTATGTACAAACAATTAATATGAAAGGGTTCATAATCTGTCCCATGTGCTCACTTGGTCTTTTCAACACGTCCAGTGCTGCCTGTGACGAACAGAGGCATGTGGGACAGTTGAGTGTGTGTGTGTCGGCCTGTCTGTGTTTCAGGGAGCGTTGCGAGCAGCGATAAGAGGCGAGCAGGAAGCACATCACTGCGGAGGAAGGAAAACCCCAGCAGTGGGGGACTGGTGGAAAGGGAGGCTGGAGAGACAGCAGTGGGTGGTGGGTGAAGTGCTGGAAGATTCACGAGGTGGGAAGGAGGGCAGCTCTGGAGGAGCCGATCCAGATTTGGTCGAGTCTCCTGGTCTCACCTCGTTTGAATGCAGATATGTGATAATGCGACTGGCAACTGCCAATCAACCCCAGCTCCAAACCAAAGCACCTAATACTGCTAGAGTTACTACTTAAGAATACAGCTCTATAGGGTGCTGAGATTATTGTGCATGTATAGTGTAGAGTGTATTTATGGTGGACTACTGTAAGCACAGATCAGGGTGCGCTGAGGGTCACTGGCAGTGTCACAGACACACTCACAGGAGATCCCACACAATGCCTAGAGCTTGATTGGTCCATCACCCTCTTTACCTCTTCCCAGCTACCTCAGATGTTGCTGGGCTTCAACACAAGGCCTCATGGGATGCCATTGTAATTGTGTTCAGTGTTTTCGATATGGTCAATGGTGTCCCTTCTGGCTGAAAAATAACAACCCATAACCAAAAGATTAGGGAGAAAATGATGGTGTGTATTGCTTGCATTTCCAATGTTAATCAGCTGGGGAGCAGCAGCCATTGTGATGTTATGGCTCAGCACCTGCGGGGGGAATAGGAAAGGTTTTTTCTCGTGCAATTTATGGATTTTTAAGATGCCAATTTCTTCAAGCCAAATGCTTGAGATAAACAGAGGAAGCCAGCAAGAGGCTTCTCTGCGTCTCCGAGTCCAAAAGCTACATTTGTCATTGTCCTTCTGGCTCTGCGTGGAGTCAGCAGAACTCGTGACACCGACGATACCAGTTTATTAAATCAAGATTTATTCATTCATGACAAAATACAGAGAAGTTCTGTATCTGCTTGAGTCACTTCTCATGTCTTTATAATGATAATCCCACAGTTTTTTTCATGCAAAGTCCCATCTGTCAGCATCCACATCTTCTAATATCTAAAAATGTTTTTACAAATCTCAGTTCTGGGATCATCGTGACTTTGTTTATGAAACTTATTTAAGCATCATGATTTTATCTGGCAGAATTTTCAACTGAGTGAGTGAGGTAATAAGTGTTGTGACTCACTCAAAATCTATGTAATGCATGAATAAGTTCAACTGAACCATTGGTGCACAGAAAGTTTCATTAGCAGGTGAAATGTTTAACTTTCACGTTTAATTTCTGATATTAATAATAACTCAAGCACTTTTTTGTTATTCCAAGGCTGCTAGTTTCTACATTGGAAGTAAAAGAAAAGGTAGTATAAGAGATTTAACATTCATTTTATAATGAGGTTTTGTTTTTTTATAACTAGGCCAAAGTAAACTTACTGGGCCTGAAATGCAACTTGTGCATGTCTGAGCCTGTAAGCTACGTTCCAAAAGCACGAGAGCCAGCAGAACGCCAAATGGCAAAGTGACGTTTGAAGTGACCAGCCTCTGACGCCAAGAGCAAAAAGAGAACTTTTTTTGCAAGCGTCATCATTCGAGATTTCTGCACACCTCACCCCAATTTTGATTTGCCTTTAATAATGCCCACTGGCATTATAACTACCTGATGTGAGTGCTCCAAGACAGAAGTACAGAAGAGGGGAAGTGCGGAGAGAGGAATGGAGGTTAAGAGTGCAAATCCCTTAACTGGATTTAGGTGCTCTTGCCGCCATGAGTGGCCTGTTGGCGGTGTTAAAGCTGCACACTGTGACATGGCTAATCTGAGGCCACAGGCTGCTCAGGAGCTCGGTGCATGTAGAAGCACAAGGATCGCATGATGCTGCAGCCACTGATGGAGGCCATCAGCAGCAGTGGTCATCCTTAATTACCAAGACAGAGGCAGATAAGCTGGAGCCACCTGGCCAGAGGTATGCCATCTCCTCCCCAAGTGCACACTTGACATTGAGGGGGTTAAGAAAGATCACAGGCCTGCCCTTTCCATTTGGAAAACTACTGTTTCACCGCAAAGAGTCATTTACACCTTGAATTAGGAATATTCCCTACAGAGCTTTTGCAACTGGATATAGTGCACTCTGGCACAATAAGACTGACTGGATAATCATATGTTACAGGCATTGCTCATGATCAGATTCCCTACTTTAGATATAATCGCAACACAAGAAAGCAGAGATGCACTAACCGTGAAATTCTAGTCTGATATTGATCTTTAAAATAAAAAATTGTGCAACAGCCGATACTGATGTTCAGTTGTTGTGAGAAAGTCAACAAACATCTCCCTCTAGCGACTGTTTTTTTTGTTTGTTTTTTAAGATATTTTTGGGGCAGTTTCGCCTTTAATTGATAAGTCAGGTGTGAAAGGGGGAGAGAGAGAGAGGGAATGACATGCAGCAAAGGGCCACAGGCTGGAGTCGAACCCGGACCGGTGCGGCAACAGCCTTGTACATGGGGCACCTGCTCTATTCCACTAAGGCACCGACCCCCCCAGCAACTGTTTTTATTAAACTTTCTTGCACAAAACAAAATCTCGCAAGGTTATATGTGAACACGTTGGGATAACCCTATAATTCTATAATGTGCCTTTGCTCAATTCTCATTTTTACTGAATGGAGGTTATAATTTTACTCAATGCAACCAAGCGGCAACCTCCAGGGATGAAAAATGAAGCCAATATGGGAATGCCAAAAACTGCTGTTCTTTAAACGGCCACTTGAGGCTGGCTCCAAAGGCGAGTCAGTCCCCACTGACCCACATGTTTACAGCCTGGTATAAAAAATGGTTTTAGTCTCTGTGGCTAATTTCCCTTTTCGTGACAACTGTACAGGAAGTGAGTTTTTATATAACTATATTCTATATAAGTTTATATTCTATTGAAGTCACATAATTAATAATTAAGGACAGGCCTCTATGAGTGACAGGCTGTATGCCGACAGTCAGATTCAACCCTTACTCCTCCACAGCTCCAGCCTCGCGCCCAAATACAGTCACTTCTGACGCCAAAAAACCAAGATGGTGACAGCCAAAATGCAAAACTTGAGGCTTCAAAATGGGAGTCCACAAACGAATGGGTGACAGTGGCTATGTCCATCATTTTAACAGTCTATGACTGCAACCTCTGTAAACTGTTACTCCCAGCTACCAGCTGCTAACAGCAAACCGTTCACGATAACAGTAACTAGCTCCCCCATTATCATTAGGGAAAAAATGTATGTGTCTTGATGGGTCAACAATGAGTTTTCTGCATCCTCTCGTCCCGTGGAAGATTAGTATCATCTTAAACACGTTTTCCATTTTCCCCTGGACGACAGGGCACAGTTAGTTTTTAGCTCAGCTTTTCAGTCTGTGCAAAACTGATGTGACAACAGAAATGCATCGACCACAGCCAGCAGTGAATGTTGTCTTGTTTGCCGACAGGCCAATGGCAGTCAACAAGAGTACGGGTCGATAAATTGGTGCATTCCAAAAATAAAGTCCTAAAGACAAGTGCGTCTGATCGTACACTGACTACATAAGACAGGTGAAAACTTGAATACTTTTGGAACTGCAAAAAAAAACAATACATTTTTTTCTTAATCTTTTTTTTTTCTTTACACGTGTCATGATAAAATTGTATGCATTAGACTTGTGTTTAATATGCTGTTTAGAGTTTGTTTCATACATTTTGTTTTGTGTTTGTGTATGTTCATGTTTCAGGTTGGATTGAATCTGCCTTTCTGTTTGTTTTTTTGGTCAATATTTACCCTTTATTGTGGATTAATTTTTCATTAAAATAAACAATTACAAATGTATTTAGATGGACACTTTTGAGGAGGAAGATGTTTCTTCCTTATTGCAAATAATGTAAATGATCTTGATGCCTCTTACCTGCTCTTGGTCATTGGCAGATCTTCCCCTCTTCCCAAAGATACAGTTAAGGTCTGTTTCACTGCGAGAGGACAGGTCCTTTCCTAAAAGGAGGGGAAAAAAAACATTTTTAATATAATATAGCAATTAAAAATAGAAAGATAAAATGACAGAAATGGCTAAACAAAACAAAACAAAAAAATCAATCCTGGCAAACACTGGTGGGTTTTTACTTTTGCAGATACCCAAACAGACCAGAAACGAATCATAGTCACGTTTTCACCAAAAAACACCCACACACAAAATAAATAAATATAAAATGAAGACATCTAAAGGGCAGCTGTTTTACCGAGGCAACCTGTAATGGTTGCAGTTGAAAGCATGAGTGTTTGTGTGTGTGTATATATGTGTGTGTGTGTTTGTGTGTGTGTGTGTGTGCTGGGGGTAGAAGGTAGGGGGAGGTGGTCTTTAAAGCAAGGAAAGGGGAGGTTTGCGTGGTTTGCTTCTTGCTCCGGGGATAAAACGGCAAAGAAAAATAAACCAACGGCGAGGTCTGCCATGCCACGCCTCCGGATTCCCATTTTCAAGCCAGGCCTCAAAGACTCCTGGAGCACAGTCGCCCGTCTCAAGCCCGGGTCCTGTTCGTACAGCTGCATCCTCTTCCTTCAGCGGGGCTCTGATAACATTTGGTTATTTATTGCTTTTAAACCTCTATCTCCCCAACTCTTTTGGGGCTCTGGCTTTGAAAGTCACTGCACATGCAGGTCTAAGAAGTAAAACCAAGAAAGTATGTTGAAAACTAAAATTAATGAGGAGGGGGAGGAGGGGAGAGGCCTGCGGTGTTTGTCATCTAGTGAACTCAGGTCAAATGTAAAATTATGCCCAATCTGACCTTCGCGCTGTTTGGACGAGGAAGTACCCGTCAAAATTCTCAGGCTTTCAGGTGAAAGTGCAAATAACATTGTCTGATAAAAAGGAGCGTAAATGTTCAAAAGGTGGCTGAGTGCCATGACACAGGATGAAGCATATGTGCTGCTGTCGTGCAGTGGAAAGTGTTAGTGAACACATGCTGGTTTCCAAGGACACAGTTGAAATAGCAACAACTGTCAACTCAGATAACTAGTCAAACCAGACCAACATCACCAAGGCTCTACGGAGAAACATTCAACCTGACTAGATAAAAAATTAACAAATCTTTCTGTTAACAGATTTACACTGGCTAAAATATGAATATCTGTTTCATCAAAAGCCCCACGACTGCAATAAAAACCAGCCACACAGAGCTACAGATGGAGAGCTGTAGTTAAATTCTGCATCAACCACCCTTGCTGCCCTGACAGGTGATAGATGGAGGTAGCAATTAAAACTGGGTTACTGGTTTATGCTGTGGGCCCGGACCTCAGCGGAGGAGATTTTGGTGCCTTTCCCCACAAACAAAGGCCATCAATCCTCAGTGCTGGCTGAGAGGGAACAAGCCTTAACAGGATATCAATAAAAAAAAGCAGGAGGGAGTAAGGAGGAGGCCTGTGCTGAGAAGGAGAGGGAGATGTCTGGAAGGTTCTCTGATGCTTCTGTGGCCACAACATTTTTTCGCAGGAACGTTTTTACAGTTTTAATATCAAATTAACGAGACTAGTATTTACAGGGTTCTGATGGCTTAAGGCAAGTTCGATTTAAGACTTTTTAGGCCTTTTTTAAGGCCATCAAGGAATGAAGTTTTAGACTATTTTCCCCAAATTTGAAGAAAAAACAAACAAACATGATCCAACAGTAATTTCTTAGGGACGGTTTTGCCCAAATGTTTACTGTAAAGACTTTTTTGGGAAGCACATGCAGTCTGTTAGCAGGTTTTCTAGGCAAATTTGTATTTCTCACTCTGCATGTGGGATTCCGCTACCTTGATTCCCATCGTGCCAAGTTTGGAAAAACTTATCACACAGGATACATGGAGCCTTTTAAGTATTGCCTTGTATTGGTTTCAGCTATGCTGCAAAATCTTGGTGAAATGGCCAGTTTTCATTTAATATGCCCTTCCCGATCTCGTCCAGGGTACAGTGACAGTAGTTAGCAGGCAGTGGATCCTCTGCTCTGAGCATCCCAGCCAGAAACAAAATATTAATGTTACTTGTTTTGCTGTCTTGATCAGTGTCACATTAACGCAAGGGGCAATCGGTAAATTACTTTTTAAAAAAGGTAGATGTCAGTAATTATCTTGAGATAGAAATACAGTCCTGTGGTTGTAAACGTGAGCGAACAAGTCAAGCTGCACTTGTAGTTTACATCCATGTCTGTGAAAACATGGATGCTTCACACACATCTTCCCCCTCAGCCGCACAGACAATCTATATAGTCTGCACAGTTTCAAAGTGGGCACCCAAGATTAGAGTCACCAATTCAGTATCTGACCAAATGTCTCCCCTTCTGTTCCTGAGATATGATGTTGAATAATGCCCAGAACATTTTGCATAACATTAAGATGTCACAGTGAAGCTGACCTTTGACCTTATATAGGTATTTGACCTTATACCTATATATAAAATGTCATCACCTCTTCATTACATCCCATTAGGCATTTGTAGGAAATTTCGTCACAATTTGCATGAGAATTCTTGAGTTTTGTCCAACATGTTTTGTGTGGTCACAGTGACTTTTGACCACCAAATTCTAGTAAGTTCACTTTTAAATCCAAGTGGCTGTTCGTGCCAAATTTGAGGAATTTGGGGTATTATTGTTATATTGCATTCACAAGAATGGGACGGACAAGGTCACAACAACCTTGATCTTTGACCACTAAAGTCTAATCAGTGCATTGTTGAGTCCAACCGGACATTTGTACCAAATTTGAATAAACTCCCTAAAGGTGTTCTTGAGATATCACGTTCATAAGTAGGAGACAGACGAACGGACAATCCAAAAACATAATGCCTCCGGCCACGGCTATCGCCAACACCAAGGCACAAAAATGATTAAAAAAATCTGACTTCTATGTCTTGGCATTTTTAAGACGTTTGAAACTGACTTGAGATATTTTAATACCAACTGAAGCTTTATTTTTAGATTAATGAAGAGTAAGACTTTTTAGGGATCTGGGGAAACCCTGATATAAGAAGGAATGCATTTATTTAATAACCGCTTATAAACACCGCTAATTATATCTCTGAAATGATTTAACAACCAGATACAAAAGCAGGCATTTAAATGCTTTAATGGCTGACCTTTGTCTGCTCTCTGCACATCCAGAACTATGAGAGTAGTACCTGACTTTTTCAACCTCTCATGTAACAAGCTTAGCAACACTAAATCTATTACCAAGCCTTAACTTGGCAACAGCTTCACAGGGAGGGGAGCCGGCATCGGAGCAGTCAGTGGAAGCATGCAAACAGGCGTGGCTGGTTGTATGTTGCCAGGTAACCCTTTGGTTGCCCATGCCAATCCAGACCACAAGCTTGACATGGTCAGGCAATAACACAAAGAGATGATTAAATAAATAAGATAAATTCTTTGATTGACTTCTGATGGATGTCTAATATCAAGGAAAGGACTGCAAATATGTCCTACATGAAGTACAACCATGTCAAAAGTGAGAGTTTCACAGTCAAAGTGCACTCAAACTTCATGCCTGTCAGACCACTTTAGGCAGGCGGAACACTCGACTCTCAAGTTTCCAATTAAGTTATGAGTCGCTTATGGAAAAACCAGTAGTGCCAGCGTCCCTTCTGTTGCATGACAACAGTTGCCGCCTCTTTTGAGAAGAAACAAGTTAAAGTGGTGTTACGTTGCCAAAGACATCTCTACTGCCTACAGAGCCGCAGACTGACTCGAGATTGAATTCCAGTTAAAACATTCCCACCTAAGCTCCCATTAAACTGCCTCCCCCTCTGCTTTCTGACAGTCTGAGAAAATAAAGATACTGAAAGAGAGTGGGTGTCAAACGTCTGAGTGTAACAAACAATAGCTGTGCCAGGTGCTACCTGCTCTTTAGCTTACCCTGACATTTATAAACAGCTGGTGGTGATCATGGGAGGAATCTCCTCGAATGGATTAGAACGAAAAGTCCTTCGGGATCAGACTTTATTAGCTGTCGACAGGTTGGGGTACAAGTGTGTCCTAATGACGATAAAGACGATAACAGAGGGCCCAAGTTCAGAGTCAACACAAATGTCCCGTGATAAACAACAGACAAGCGTGGCTGTCAACATGACAAAAACACTTGAGAGAGGTATTGTTTTCGATGCTTTTTATGGGGTCAGTGGGGTTGTCTGGGGGGGAGTGGGAGGTGGATGTAGCTGTGAGGATACAGAGATTCAACCTGAAGTGGAGCAACTCAATAAGCTTACAGTTCACAGGGTTCCCACACATTTTCATGGACAAAATTTCAAAACTTTTTCATGACTTTTCAAGGACCTGTAATATTTTTTCTTGCCCCACCTGCCCGGCATTTTTCAAACACATCAGACTGAAACTGTATGCGATAGTAAACAAAATAGGGCTACGTATTAGTGCTACATCACATCAGCAACTACAGACAAAAAAATTTGCCAGTAAACGTTACATAGAAGAATTCTCACTTAACGTTACTGTAACAATTTCATTACACACAACAATATTGCACAACTTTGTTTCAAAACTTTCAATGGTTTTACAAATTCCATGCCTTTTGCAGGCCTGGAAAATGTTTTTGAAAAATTCGATGACTTCCAGGTTTCCGCGATTTTTGGGAACACCGAGTTTAGTGCTGCAACGATTTATCAATTAGTTGTCAGCTATTACTCATCAATTGATAAGTTTGAGTAATTTTTAAATGATGAAAGTCAAAACTCTCAGATTCCAGCTTCTTAAATGTGCAAATTTCCTGGTTTCTTTATGACCGCAAACTGAGTATCTTTGGGTTGTGGACAAAACAAGACATTTACAGATGTCATGTTGAACTTTGGGAAACACTGAGCAACATTTTTCCCAATTATCTGACAATTTATGGACCAAACAACTGAACGATCAATCAAGAAAATAATCAACAGATTAATCGACAGTGAAACTAAACGTTAGCTGCAGCCTTATCATGGTTGGGTACAGGGTAACATTTTAATAGGGCTGCAACTAATGATTATTTTCATTGTTGACTAATCCATCAATTATTTCTTCAATTAGTCAACTAATCCGTTTATCGAAAAATGTGTTAAAATGTTGAAAAATGTCTGTCTCTCCCAAACCCCAAAATGATGTAATCTAATGTCTTGTTTCATACTCACGCCAAAGGGTTTTAGTTCACTGTCATGGGAGAGTGTGTAAAGCTGCCAATATCTGAACGTAAGAAGCTGCAATAAGAATATTTTGGGGTACTTTTATAGTACTTTTCTATGAAAAATGACTCAAACCGATTAGTCGACTACTAAAATAGTCACTGATTATTGTAATAGTGGATTAGCCATCGATTAGTCGACTAATCGTGGCAGCCCTACATTTTAATTCCCTCAAAATATTTTTGACCATATTTTAACTGTGCCAGTGCAAAAATTAAATATCTTACATTCTCCATCATGCCTGGATGATATGTCCTCATTAAGATAAATAAATAAATAAAACTATGAACTTAGTTAGAATAAAATTCTCCAAACACCTAAGTTGCTCGCAAATCCAAATTTCCAAAGCAAATATAGCAAATGGTGCTGTACTGTAACATTAAAGAATGTCTTAGTTTAATTTATTTGTAGCGCACTTATCAAAATACACTGTAATGTAAAAAAAAAACAGGCAGGCATATCGAAAAAATATTAATAAAGTTTCAAAAAATGGATGATAAAAAGCCACATACACCAAGGAAAGTGTAAACAAAATCAAAATTAAAAAGAGACATTGTAAAGGAGCTTTCTGGTAAAGGTAAGTCTAAAAAAGTGATTTAAAAGAAGATTCTGAAAAGCATCAGGCAGGTCGTTCTATGTCTGGATGCATTCACAATCAATGCATCAAACAAACATGCTGACAAAGGCGCTGCTAAACGACTCAGAAAAGTCTCAACTTCAATACAAACTTGCTGTTTACCAAGTTGTACGATTTCAGTAAAATATGAATAGAACATGAGAGCAGAAAGCACCCAGAGGAAAATCATCGCCCCCTTCAAGTGTGCCTTGTACGGTGCATCTGTTCCACCAGGGACAAGGTCTTTTTCTGGCTCCGGCCAAATTAAGATCACAAAAACACGGTGAGAGGGTCTGGGTGAGACACAGAGGTCACGTTTTATCTGGCGGGGTCATCTAATGGGTCATGCAGCCCATGGGAGGTGTTGTTTTTGGGGGGCCAGTAAATGGACATGCCAGATGCCCCAAACAGGAAACAGGAAGTTGCTACTGAATGACGTAAAATATAAAAAGCTCTGCCAGGTGAGGCAAAAGTTGAGATACTCCGTTTTCCCATGTATGCTGACCTCATCAGGTACACCTCAACCAGATAACAAGAACAATTATGGAGTAATACCTTCACCAGATGTTGGAATCTGATGAGCTTGCACTACTTTCTTGCAAAAGAACTTGCACAGCTACTACGATAAAAAAGATATTCTTTAAAATCAGCTACATGTTGTAAGTTTACAAGTCAAAAACAAGCACCATAACTATTAAAAACCTGACAATCTTAATAAGAAAGTATACTTGTAATCACTAAACTATGCTCCATGCCAAAGTTAAGCAGCTCAGCGGTGAAATATGGGCCAGTGGTTATTCATTTCGGTCTCCAGTGGTCCTGAACACCAAATACCTCCTCGTGCCTATCAGTGTTCTGGCCTTGACCAGCAAATCTTGACTTCCTGACGTGTAAAGGAGTAATGAAGTTGAAGGAAGAGTTATTAATAACCTCCCCTAGCAGTGACCGGGCCAACTGACCCGGCACAGGCTGACAGAGCTCTGATCAGCATCTGCGGTCCGAGCCAAGTGCACAAGGCTCAACGAGGGGTTAAGGAGGCTTTCTGTCTGTCTGAGTGGACTGTCTGAAAGGTGGACAACTAAAAAAGTGGAGGCACACGCAGGAAATGTTGCTGGAAAAAAGGTGCTGAGCTGAAATCATTACACAGTGGTGCTGAAACAGTTTTATCTAAAATGCAGATACACTTTCAGGGGAGAATTTCTACTGTGTGCTAAACAGTTGATCCAGTCAGGCTGAGTTTTTTTCATTATACTGCACACACAATTTTACAGGTAATCAATTTAATGACCGGTGAGATGAGAAAAGAAAACACTGTGTGCACAACGGAGCTACGTTCATGCTTGTGTTTTTATGCTGTAAAGTCGTGCCAGCTGCCAAAAGATAAACCCACCTTTAGTGAACTTCATGTAGTGCACCCTCTTTTTGGTGGTCTTGGATTTCTCCTCCAAGCTGAATCCTTTCCGCTCCTCCGGTGGTGGAGAATCTAGAGATAATACAGAAAACATAAGAAGATAAATATGGTCATATGGAGTTACAAATTTAAGATGTTTGGTGTTACTGTACATCTCTACCAGCTTAGATTAAACACTGTTCTATATGTGCTTTGTTTCCCAGAACAGTGATAATGAAGACGTTTTATCGTATGACAGCAACTGTAAACAATGTCACTCCTAAATGTTGCAGAGCAGCACCCTCTACTGGCCGACAGAAGAAGCTGTACTATTATTTGGAGTAGTAATATGAAGTCACAGTGGCAGAGTTACCACTGAGAGTAAGTATACATCATGTATCAACCCTAGATAATGCACTGCCAGTGTGAGTCATACAGTATGTGACACATATGTAGTGTATTAACAGTAGCTTTATCTTTTTTGCACAACCACAAGACAACAAAAGGTTCAAACTGAAATCAACTTAAACATTTTCTTTAATATACCACCCTGTTAAGACAACCACCACAATTCTCAACATGCCTGTAAACACGTCATTTTATACACATTACACATCTTAACACTACTGACTGTACATACCAGTTCCGCTGTTTTGAGCATGGCAGCTGTTCAGTTGAGCAAGAAGCTCATTGAAATCATCTTGGTGGGCGATCCAGTTATCCTGTCAACACAGCAGATGTCAACAGAACTGACAAAAACTTCAAAATGGTATATAATTATGGATTTGTGCAGTCAGTTGCCAGTGTATGAGTTACACCTGATGAAAACTAATGTAGTCTGATACAGTTATCCCATAGCTCCTCCCTTCCTGCAGGTTATAATGTTCAGTTTTTGTTAAAAATGTTTTAGAGAGGCGTTGATTCAACTGTATGGTCATTTTTTGGAGGATGCAGTTAGAGATGCTGTTGATTTGAATTGTGTAATACTATCAGGTGTTTTTCATTATTTTGTCCAGCCAATTTACATAAAAAAGGTTAGTCTTAATAGCAAGAAGATCTCTCAGTATAATACAGTAGTATTACTATGGGGCTTTTAAATCACGTCATAAGGGGCCAGTCTTATATTTGTGTAAAAAGAATGTCATCCAAATCCGTGCTGAAATAATTCTAATGTTAAACAGAGACTGCAATACGTAAGGGGTAGTGCCCGACAAGGTGTCCATTATCAGGAATTAATGGACGACACAGAGGCGTGAACCATCCGACGCGAAGCCCATTAATTCCTGATAATGGACACCTTGAAGGGCATTAACCTGCTTATACCATGGTCACTTACCAAAAGAAATGAATATTAAATCAATTATTTATGCTTTAATGTGTTTTACAGTTAAAATCATGAGTTTTTCACAAGCCACTGCTGAGCAGACTATTTAACCTCAGTAGTTCTCAGGTGTTGCCATGGAGACCAGCTGTGGCCGCAGCATAGAGAGCATAGCGACTCTGATCAGTGAAGGGAAGTGAGATGATGGCTAAACGTTACGTGATATTATTCAGAAGATGATTATTTCAGAAAGCCAGTGCACTTCTTACCGCTTGTGTGTTACAGACTCTGGTGGTCAGAGGATGATGTGCAAAAAAAACTTGAGATATTGCTTTCATGATGCCCGTTGTAATCCGTTGCCTCTGCTCTGAGTCTCCATTGCTATGGTTACAAACTAGCAGTTGAGCCAGCGCAATAATTTAGAACCTGTCATCAGGCAATTTGACCGGAACGTCTTTTTAGCTGTCCTATAACACCTTTTAATGGACACCCTGCAGCCAATCAGAATTGAGTATTCACCCAGACCATGGTTTAAATCTCATGAAAAACCATACTTGTTGTTTGAGTAGTGTGAATACAGCCCATCACATCACATCCAAGGCACTGCTCCCAACAATAAACACATATATCTGCAAATAACCTTAAGAGTAACATACTCGCTATGATGATCTGCTTATAGCATATTCTCTTTAGGTTCTTGTGGAAAATCACTCAAAATAAACATATATGCATACAAGATGTTTTACAGTTAACAATAACATTCAAGAATGAACAGAGCAACCACATGATTTCATTATAGAAGCACCTGCAAAGTGTTAAATGTGCTCACCTCATAGCTGGCGGAGGTCCCAAGACCATAGTTGTTGTTCTTCACTTTTACTTTGATATGGTCAGTGGAGCCTTGCTCACTTCTCCCCAGGCCCTTAACATGAGAAGAGAGGAAACATACGTGTGACAGAGGTGTTCACCAACTCATTCAGTCACTGCCAAAATATTAAGAAATTATCCCCACTGACCCAACCACAGAGATCCATCTCACCTTGCCCTTGGACCAGCCCATTCGCTCCAGCATCTTCTGGCCGAATTTGGAGTCATCGTTGCTCCAGGCGCTGTTCCTGGGGTCAACAGACCACTTCTGTTTCCTCCGGGCTGCACAGACAGCAGTGACATCATTACATAACAGTCACCAAAACATTACATAAACCCGCAGGACTCACACTGCAAGGTGACGAAACCTTATGTACACACACACAGGACATGATACTGTGCAGAAAACGATATATAGCAGATGATGCGGTTGTAATAATCACTTTAAACTAGAACTATTGTTAACAGACAGATGGAAGTTACTTCTAACCACAGGGATACTGTACAGCGACTCTTATCGTTTGAATACACACATTTTAAAACACTATACAGTCTTGCTTGGTCACTAAATCAGGTTTAGTCCCAGATAATAACCAGGACAATGAGTTATCATGTGCAGCTGACACGTTTGACAACTGTCATCAGTAGTCCGACCATGCTTTAAGACAACAGTGTGCCACAACTTCCAATACGTTTATTAAAAATAGGTCAAATTAATAAATAAATACATATAATTGACCATTAAGGACGTGACATTCAGCCAAAGTGAGCTAGTGACAAGTTACTGCAGCTGGCATTCAGTTACAAGCTAAAACACGTGTTTACAAACCGCTGTAGTAATGCTAATGCTAATGCTAGCTAGCCGAATAGTTTAAAATATACAAAATACTGACTATTTTCGGTGGAAAACCTGTTGACATTTAGTAGCGGTGGGTTTTAGCGACAATTACACATAGTAAAACACACTATTATATTTAAAGAAAAGGGTAAATATCTGTCAAAACTGTAGAAAAAATGTACTTACGTTCGGCGAGCATGGACATCCTGGGGTCCTTAAACAGCTTGATGGAAGTCGCGTAGGCTTCCAAGAAAATGCCTGAACATAATACGTGGCCACGCTGGTTGTTTTTCGTCAATAAAATATTGTTGTAAAATATTTACTGTGCGTCGTAATCCATAAGGATGAAAGTATATTGTGAGTCTATTATTTTAACGATGGATATTGTCGTTATTTTGTTAGTAGTATCAGTGCAGGTAATTGTGTTCGCCAACAGAGGGCGACACAGGCAGGTTCAATGACCCCAAAACTACAGCCCATTATATATCTATAATACAGCCTGATATTATGCCTATAATGAAATGAATAATGAAAAATATAATTTTCAAATTCAATAAAAATGTAACAATTAATATGTAGGCTGTAAAAAACAAATATCAAACATATATTATGCCTGAAAGAAGGGTGACATTTTTTTTTTTTTAAATGCAGACTAGAAGCATTTAATTATATGTAATTATATCTATCAATAGGCCATAAATGCCAATATCAATATATGTATTTGTGATCAGCCAATATCATCCAATATCAGCCCACAGATTTATTCATCAAGCTGCACCCAACACCACCCCATGATGTGCCCAACTCAAATAGAGCATTGCTCAACGTGTTCTTGCCACAATACCCGCAGCCAGTTTCATAATGTTTGCACTGATGCATGTGATGCACTAACAAGATCTCATGTCGAGAGTTTCTGGATTAGCTTCTTGTGCTGACAGAGATATCACAACCACAGCTCAGTATAAGAGCCAGGAAGCTACTATCAATGATGGGAACACGGAAGCAGGCATCACTTTGTCCTGTCTGAACACAGCCCTGAATTAGTTACTCATCGAAATCAAAATCTGTTTTTGTTGTTTCAAGCTGTTGTGCTGCCAAGGAAAGCACTTGAAAGAGGAGCAAGTAGCACTTGAAGGCAGCACAGAGTAAACAGCTTTAGTTGAAATGTGGACTGACTGAATTCTGCATGAATATCAAAGTCGTCTTATGCAACTTGCAATCAACAGACACACATTGACCTAAATTACCAACTGGTAACCGAGGCATCTGTAAAAAGGCTAAAGCTACCAGATGAAAGACAGTGGTAGTTTCCATGATATTACCAAGTAGTTGCTTTGGTGTCACTTAAAGTACCTGTTAAGGTGTTGAAGCATGGAGTGTTTTGTAACACACTAAAAAAAATGAGTGTGATTGTCCTTGAGCTATGTACGAGTTATGAAAGCTGTCTGGGAATATTTATCAGCCCTATCAGAAATAAAACTGAAGTCTTGATATGAGATCAGTGTTTACATTTCCTGTGCTCCTAAGGACCCAAGAATTGGACATAATATTTATTTATGTTGAAAATCCTCAGAAGATGTTTGTGGCGTGGTTCTTTGAAATCATGCCCAGGAAAAGAAAATGCAGACTTGGGTCACCTTCAGGAGCTGTTGTGTGAGAAAGGAGCCAATATTTAACTCAACCTTATTTATGTAACACCTGTCATACAAACACATAGCTCAAAGTGCTTCACATAGCAAAACTGAAATAAGACAGATGCAATTTAAAGGACAAAGTAAGCAACTATAAGCAATACAACAAGAATTAAAAAAAATAATTAAAAGTATCTGCACTTTTATACTTTTAAACATGAGGAACATTTAAAAATAAAACAGTGGAGGACCTTAGTGATCTGACTTGGACGTAAAATGAAAGAACATCTCTGATGTATGGAGGGGCAAGGTCGTTTAAAGCTTCAAGTAAAATAACTTAAAAATCAGTTCTTAAAGATACAGGTAGTAAGTGTAATCCTCTGAAACCTGGAGCGACATCACTTTTCTTGCACTGCTTTAACACGCCTTTCTCAAGTATTTCAACCTTTGAACCCTGAGCAGATTTCTTTCAAAAACATGGGGGAAAAGGCACTGAGCATCTTGGTTAAAAAAAAAAAAAAAAAAAGTCACACGAATTGCAAAAAAAATAATAGATTTAGAAAATTTATTTTAAAAAAAAAAAGGAAAAAAGCTAGGGAAAAACTATATTCCTAATAATTATTATTTTTACATTTTTAAAATAATGTTACAGAATTATTTTTAATTTTTAAGCACTCTTTTCAGGTCATTTCCTTTTTTGTTTTTATCTTTCTCTTTTTGCTAATTTTCTTATTTTTATTTTTCTCTTTTTTTACTATTTTTTTGCACATTTTTTGAGTCATTTCTTCTTTCATTTCTCATTGCCTTCTTCCCATGTTTTTCAAAGTGTGAAATCAGCAGTGTAATGTAGTGATCCATTTTCCTTTTAAAAAGAAAATGTATTCTCTGAGGGGATTCTTAAAGAGAAATATTGGTATCAATTGAATATATGATTAAAGAGTGTGAAACAGTTTGACTGCAATCAGACAGATACAAAACACTGCAGTGTTATTGGTTCAGAGTTCCTCTTAGAGACTGACACCGATCTCATCTAGGTGACACACATGTCCTCTCCTGAGATGCAATTATTTTTATCTCAGCATTGCTATTCTGTACAGGAACATATGTACCATACTGCACCACTCTGAAGAAGCACGTCTGCACATATCTACTTTTACGTTTGATTTATTTAAGTCTAATAAACAACAAATGGTTACATTTTCTTGAGCTTATTTGCTGAGATGTTCAAGCTAATCACTTGTGTCAGTACTCAGATGCTGTGGCTCCAAATATAACTTGAATACACAGCTCCTTAGATACATAAATCAGCTTGTTGCTGATGGCATGAAGTGAAAAAGCACTCATATACTGACAGCATCAGTTTGTTTCTATAATAGTCACGTCCAAGCAGTGTAAAGCTCTAATCTGACTCCATATCTGTGCTTAAAGTTACCACCTCCAGCACAGGATTAAGACGAGGTTGTGTAACAGCTCCAGGAGCCTGGCAGGGATCAGCGACTATTGTTGACCTGACTGTGAGCTGCAGAGAGGCTGACAATAGGAATCATGATACTGTGCGGTGTCCCTGCCATTCCTGTTTTTGCTCTTCTTTTTTCAAGTAACCTTGGCAGACATTTAGCTTAAGTAAGCACCTGCAATGTAAAGGTCACATCAGGTCACTAATGTCATTCAAAATTTATAGCTCAGGGATGACTGACTCGTAGAGCTCATAAATGTGGCCATAATCCCAAAGTCAAAATTGATTTTCTGACCATCATAGTGTCAGTCCTGTTACGGACTACTAGAGCGGAGAAGAAGCCATTAAATGCTTTGCAAAAGCATTTCCTAAACAGAAAGAGAAGTTGAGGTCTTTACTGCCCATGAGAGGATGTTCTTTTTACAGAAGGGCAGCACAAAAACACAAAATCACAAAGCATGTTTCCCCCTGATACAATTGTCTGGTCTACCACTGGCCACCCGGTGATGGCAATAACTGAAGGTCAATGTTACTGTCTTCAAAGGCCCAGACACACCAAACCGACTTCAGGCAACGAAAGCCAACTGTTGCTTCGCCTTATGTCACCTGTGTCTTGGCTCAACAGTTGCACATGAACACACCTCAAAGACTACAGCCAACGGCGAACCAGCAGATACATACTGCCTCTGAGTGAGAGCAAATAACTCTCCACAGTAGAAGATGGCTGTAGTCTGTTTTCGTCATTCAGAAAGGGAAACTGGAAGACCGTCTTGACACCAGTTAACCAGTTAGCACATTAGCAACGTAACCACATGTTGAAAGAACAAAGTATATTTACTTAGCCCTTGTGAACAATAACACAAACCATCATGAAAGAGCTCAATGGTGAAAGAAGAATAATCTTATCTTATGTAACAAGTTTGTTTTGACCTCACTCGCTCTTGACCTTAGCTGTCTGTTTACTTTCCTCACTTCTGTTTCTACTCTTGTGCGCTGAGCTGAACAGCCAGTCAGAGAGATTTTATTCAGCAGCAGGCTCTGCAGTCTCTGGCGCTGATTTAGAATGCTGAATCAGCAAAAAAAAGCCAACATGGGCTGACAATGGGCAACAGTGCTGGACATACCTCACCCTCTCCAGCGACAGACATGGCCCATCATTGACCGACAGCTGACCGTCGGCTTGGTGTGTCACGGCCTGTCACGCAAGTGTAGTGGTATCACGTGAAACTAGACAACCTAAGGCATCATTTTGTACCAATCATGCCGCTATGACATATTGGGAAGTGGGCTAAACAATGCTTCAAAGTAAGGCTTAATTTTGGTGAGGGAACAACTGGCACGGCCATTTTGAAAGGGGTCCCTTGAACTCTCACCTCAAGAGGTCTGAATGAAAATGGGCTCTATGGGTACCCACAAGTCTCCCCTAGACCCGAGAAGATTTGCTCTTAGAAAATGTTTTCTTCCTTACAATAAGTGTACTCTTTCAAATTCAAGCTGTAGCCTAAATTTGTGTTTTTAAGGAAAAGGACAACCAGAAAACAATGAATCACCAAACACATAATGAGTAATATTAACTCTAGAATGAGAAACCAAAGTATATCAGTGTGCAATTCCCTAACTCTTGACATAGTTTTCAACTAGCCTATATACCAGCATGAAAAACATTCCCCAAATTTAGTTATGGTTTTTGGTTTTGGTGTGTGGGCGCCACTGACAAGAGTGTACTGTTTTGACTCAGCTGACTAAAAGCCTGTAACTGCGAAAGACCGATACACAGTATGCCTTTATTTTCATATTTCTCTTAAGGCTAGAGGGTGAGAGGAAGGTGGTGGTAGTAGGGTCCTGGGCTCTATCACCATGGCAACGGGTCTCCATGTGGAGTCACAGCTGTAGCACAGAGTGTAATGGCCCGCAGCCAAGCAGCTCCCTCCCCCCCGGCCTTCTTTATGTCTCGTCCTTCACTTTCTGCCCCGATCCAAAGCGGCTGCACGCTGTGTGAATCTTATTACACGATGACGAACAAAACACTGGGGGCCTGGGCGACCGAGGCAGCCTCCTGATTGGCCGGTGGGAGGTGGGCCTGCAAGCCAGTGTGTGCACACCCAAGGAGACGGATTACATAAGAGGCAAGGCTTCCCTTACTAGAAA